ATCACCTCCAGCCATTTGGCCCATTTCTGAGCCCGGACCAGGAAAATGGGAAAAGGAGGTTTTGACACTACAGTGGCCCGGATAGCCTACAGGCCCAGTAGGAGGCGGGGGGGGGAGAAGACCGGGCCCCCGGCAGCAGCGCTGGGGACGCGGGAGTTCCCGGGCTCTGTCTGGACACGTGAAGGGTTGGGGGAGAAAGGGGGGGTCCTTAGTCCCTCTCTGGGCACTGGTGGGACTGGGGGAACCAGGGGGACCCTTATACCTCTCTCTCGCAGGAGGAGGGAGGGGGGAAGGCGCCCACCCCTACCTGTCCCCGCACACAACCACCCTCCGTTTCCTCCTCCTGCCCCGCCGCTGCCGCTCTGTGCGGGGGGGTCACTGAGGAACTGGCTTTTAACACATCCCCTCCAGCGCAAGAGCGAGGAGCGGCGAGGGAGGCAGCCAAACGAAGCGCCGCCTTTAAGAGACACACACCCATCCCCTCCTCATCCCAATTGATCCACTGTTTGAGACCCACCCCCCCCCGGGGGGGGATATGGGGGACCCCCAGAGAAAGAAGGGCAAAAGGGGTTTCTTTGCCAGGTTCAGCGGTCACTGGTCACTGTCAGGGCAGGAGTTGGGCATTAGTGACGTGGCCATTAGTGTGACTGGAAGCCCCAAAGTGCTAAAACGTGCTGAGATTGGGACCAGGGCTGAGGAAGAAGTGTTTTCTGCTGGGGGTGGTGAGACCCCGGCTCAGGTTGCCCACAGAGGGGGCTGATGGCCCCGTCCCTAGGAATATCCCAGGGCAGGTTGGACGGGGTGTTGGGTGACCTGCTCTGGTTGGAGATGTCCCTGCCTGGGCTTTGAAGGTCCCTTCAGTCATAAAGCAGTTGATTATTCTTGATAAAAACTCCTCTAAAACCACCTTCAGGTCCCTCAGTTTGCCAGGACATCCTCCCGCTCCTCCCTTACCTGAGAGTCCAGCAACAGCCACGGCCAGAGCCAGGACCAGAGCCACCAGCACAGCCACCACCAGGACCTTCTGCCTGTAGCCCCAGGCACCTCTGGGTGGGGGAACACTCCTCCATCCTGAAGGACTCAGGGACACCTCCACGTTTCCCATCGCTCAAGCAGAAGCCATTCTTCTCCTCTTGCCCCAGAGGACACGGGGATGTGAAACCTCATACAGTCTTGCGCCCATGTACCAACACCTCTGCCAAAGGCTGTTTCAGTCCATGCTTGGATCCAGTTCTACCACCACAGCTGTTCATGTCACACTGGGAGGTTCCACAGACCATGATTGCAGAGCAGCAGATCAGGGTGTTTCATTCCAGTTCCTCCCAGCTGCCACAATCAGTTTAGTTGATCAGCCACAGCCCAGTGGTGACACCCAGCACAGTCTTGTCCTGTCCCTGCTCCCCCCGGGACACTGCAGCCTGTCCCCAGCACCCAGCCAGCACCTGGAGAGACAAACACAGCCTCAGTGAGCATCCCCAGCAGGGACCCAGGCCTGGGAATGGGGGAGGTC